TTTTTTTTGCGGAAAATGAGGCAGAGAAATCCGGCCCCCTTCCCAATACCTGTGATGTGTTCGAAGACTTTGCGAAATGGAAGAGAAAAGAAATGAGAATTGAGGGCAGAGAAGTGATTGCCTGTCAGCGCCGACACATTCCCGTACAATTGTAAGATCAGTGATAATCGAGTTAGTGTCGCCGCATTCCTCATCGTAGATTTCGCGCACCGGACTCATGGACGTCTACAGCCACGCCGCCACATTTCTCAGATCTTATCGTGCTTGGAAAATTTATGGAGTTGCTACAAATTTGTATCTACATTCCGAGGATTTCGATTAGCGCAAGGATAACCAAAAAAATGCATAAGTGCATCGTAGAGTATGATTAGCTAAATGTAGTATATCCATCTCAAGAAGAAAATAATTGCTCTATAAATTGCCCGGGATATGCAGGAAATTCCAAACTGCCACCGTTTCCCTATCAATGTACTATTGGAAGGCAGCTGTTGCACAGAGGATGCGTCGAAGTTGTACTATGTAACAGCACCTTATGATATTGTGCGTCTTCAAAGAGCTGTAGTAAACATCAAGGTGTAGAGAGGAGCTAAAATCAAGTTTTGCGCATTCTCTCGAAAGATGAACGAGTAGTGGTTCAGATTGTATCACTAGGTTACAATTCTGTCAAGCGTGTTATGAGACGGAAACTGATTAAGGGAGCAGTCGCAGTAAATGCCCTTTTCAATGACAAAATTGCCAATAAAAAGTTGAGCGACGATACACAAGGCGCCACGGCGTTTAACATGGGAAGAATGTGCGTTTCTTAGAGCGTGGAAAGTGAGAAAAGGTTGATGAATATATCTTCAATGGTCATAAATATTAGCGCTTGGCATCTGAGCGCAAACTTTCAGCAGCTTAAGAAGAATTTAGGGATCAAACTAACAAAATTAGCAGGTATTTGGACGATTGAGTTAGGCTATTTCACCCTTTCTTCCTTAGCCGAAGCATGCGTGTGGAAAGTTTGGCAAAAATTGGTTCAGAAGCAAAATTTTGAATGTACCACATATGAACATACATAAAACAAATATATAAATACAATGTGGTTTTCTAATTACCAACCTCACTGACTATAACAAAGGTTTTGTAAATGCATGTTCAAGTGAGTTTTATAACTCCGAATAAAAACTCGAGTTTCAACGTTATTTCCGATATGCAGCTCTAACATCAAGAACATCAACTGCGTTTTCTTCTATAACATTCAAAACACCGGAGCACGACAATATCTTGAAAGCTTTACTCCTTTTGTTTACCAGCAATCTTGAATATCCTTCCAAACTAACCGATATGTCTCATCAAGGCTTCACTTTAACAAATGAAACCGAGATCACGTCTGTTGGCAACCTGAGTATGCGAGTTTCCATTTCAAAACACCACTAGGCGTGCTGCCCTCCTGCCAACCATTAGGCGATTGACATATACATGGGAATTTAACGCCCGACCCTTCTTCTGCGAAATCTCCACCCTTAGCAACCTGTTCTTCAATCGAGTAGCCGTAATTAGGCGGAGTAAGCCACTCTGTTTTCTGGAGAGGAGGTGTGCGGCTTGTTACATAGAAAGATAGTAGAAACATCTAAGATTTTCTCTTGTGATATTCGACAGGCTCTGTTTGGTGTGCTGTGAAGTTACTCTTTCTTCATAAAGCTAAAATCTATTCACAGTCAATGCCTTTATCATGCGTGAGACTATTCTCGGATCTCAATATTTTTTGAAATTACATTGTTAGAAACGAGGCGAAATAGTGGAAGAATGGGGATGGGTTTCTAGTCTACTCTTTTACGATTTAAAGAGGGACTTTTTCACTTTTACTTTTAAAAAACCACTTTTATAACTGCATCACGATGCAGTTTTAAAAGCAGTTTTTTGGTCCAGCTAGCTTAATCGATAAAACCACATTGAAGCTGTCGTTGCAACCGTTGAGTGGTGTAATTTGCTACATCTATTGATGTGGTCGTTCATCTGCTACAGGAATCCCTCGTTCATTATTTCGTAACAAGCAAATGTTGCTTTTTTTGTAGCAATCTATAGTATGCTATTTTTCATTTGCTGAGACAAAAATCACCCTCCGGATACATGATTGGAATTCAAAATCTTAGAAAAGTTTTTCATCTTTTATACAAATTTGTGAGCATAACTTAAGCTTTATCCTTGTTGTAGAATTACGGCCTGTTGAAGAACACCAAAATCTCCCAGAACGGCAAGTTTCAAGGGGTATCGAATCTAGATCACTCAATTGGATATTGTATTTTTTTGTAATGTGGTTACGCTCACTGCGTGCTTAGCGCTTGCGTAATGCAGTATTGGTACTGATTTAAAAACATGGGAGATATGGAGGGAGAATATTTCCCGGCTGTCATTTATATACAAGTTAGTAGCTCAGAGGTCATTTTGAGCTTCTCAAGGCAATGAAATGAGTTTTAATTATAAGTCAGTCAGTTGATGGTGTATGAACAATACGAGAGTTTGATAGCGATTTTATTGAAGCTACAAAAAAAAATTCCGATCCGTTTCTTCAGAATTTCCTAATTTGCTGCTTCCTATCTCTAGCTGGTTCTGTTTTATTATGATTCTGAAGCAAAGAAGACAGCATGTACATTCTTTATCGAAAAGTAGTACACGATTATGTCATGAAAGCACGTAGATTCTGATGCAGATGTGCTCAGTAAATGGATGGAAAAAAAAGTTTTGTTGATGCAATTAGAAACTTAATGTATGGATCAAAATAGGGGAGGCATCCCTTGTTTATTTTTACATTACGTTTTTTTGAGCTTCTAAAAATTTGAAAGTACAGTTCCAAATTTTGCAGCATACCTTTTTAGATGCACACTGTAAAAAAAAAGGATTCCTGCTGAGTGCAGAAGTAATAAACGCTTTTGAGGGCAAAGCTTTCCTATTAACTTCTTTTCGATATAGCTCTGCCAAATCACCTTACCCCAGAATCTAGGGCAGTAAGCACTTCGACTGCCGCATCAGCACGAATGAGACTCTAAGCTTCAGTATAGGGCTAGCACTGAGTGTGAAATTTTGCAACGAACAATATCTTCGAAACGGAGAGTATGAGCCCGAAGCCCGTGACTGTTTACAGAGTTGTGCATCTTTTTTTTTTGTTGGAAGGGAACTTCCGCAGCGCACCAATTAGGGTAAGGTGTTGGTCTCTGCTTGCACCAAATTCTCATTGATTTCTGTTCCAGATGTTTGGTTAGATAGTAAGGAAGTTTAGCAATGACATATGCTAGCAGTTTAATATTATTATGACATAATATCACTACCTTTAGTCTTTTTTCGTGCAAATTTTGTTCATTTCATCCTCCACTTACTTCCAGCGAGTACAAAATTTGTGTGAACGCAGCACTGATCCTCTTTTTCCAAAATTTTGGTGAAACAGAGTTTAATTTTCAGTACACCAGAACTGATCTCTGAACATTGGCACTTTTCTTGATATAGTCTAAGTTGTTAAGTTACCTTCTCGGATGGGAGAAAACCAAAATGTTGCAGTAATCCAAACAAAGGCCAAGCTAGTGTATTGTTTGCTAAATTAGAGTTCCGCAAAAGAATCACAAACCATTACCAGAAAACAATGTGTATATAAATGCAATATACCAGAAAACAATGTGTATATAAATGCAATAGTTTAGCCTAACTTTTATTCTCAATATTCAAACTACACATGTCAAATAAACTTTCTGTGACAACGGTTTCTTCCTCAAGAGGGAACAGTTCTCCATCTCGTCGAGATCTCGTTCGCTGATAGAGTTCTCCTGCTCTACGCGAGATAGCGACTCTCTGCAATCCTTTGAACTCCGTGCAGAGATCACATGTTACGTGGCCATTGGAGTGTCGTATCTGAAAATAAAAATCTAGAAACCATATTTTCACTCTTTATAGCTTGACGTAACTCAATTCAGATGTATGTGAACCACCACAATGCTTGAAGCGTTTGACTGTACACTGCCCAGCTACTGCAATTAAAAGCATGCATGGACGCAACGCCATTATTTGACAAGTTTCCCTCCTTTAATTCCATCATATTTGGGTGCGCGAGATTTGCGAACATATCAGCATGGGATTTAAGTCCTTCTGTGATGCTCAAACAAAAGGGAGGCATCTTTCCCCCTTCCCCTTGTGAGTTTGGAAATCTCAAACTTTGACTTAACAGCTGTTTCATGTTAAAACCTGGTATGCTTTGTGTGATTGCGAAATTTGTAGAAAAAAAGGAAAGAATGCTTCAATCAGAAACCATGAATGTGTTTAATCTAATGACAATTATATAAAAGAAATTAAATGAGTGAAAATAGGCTTTTAAGGAGGGCCATGCGCGCAAATTTCGAAGCGATTCCTCGTTTATGAGAAAGTCGATCAAATTGGGTCTTTGCTTTACTAACACATATGACAGCGTACGTTCACAGCTTTCTGCCTCTCTGAACCAACGATTCTAACATTTATTTGTGGTGTTGTCATCATTGCGCTAACTCATATTAGTTATCTGACACGCTGAACGCATATCATAGTCATTTCCACAATGAGATGTTACTGTACCTTGCACGGTGGGTATACTGTAAGCAATGGAATCCCTCCAACAAGTAATATTCCCGAGGTGGGATAGTCTTATTAGTTTTACTATAGTTTTGAGTTCCTCAAAAACTTGGCACTAGATCAAGTAGCTTAGCACCTAAAAAAGTCACCTTTCTGCTTGCACTATTCTATTAATCATGTATTCTATCATTAATATCGTAATCGAAATCAGCGTCTACGGAAACTTCGGAATTCATTAAGAAAAATACATCGTATATAATGGGCGTGTGGAGAAACCCACGATCAAACAAATTTGCGATGATCCGGGAAGGCTACTCATACACCTACCACAGTCCTAACTTATTTTGCTGCAAAATGGACCCTTTTTGCTACAGGTAAGGCTTCATCATCCTTCAAGGTTCACATTTGAGGCAAAGCATGCGTTGTCCGAAATGGCTACCATGTGTCCACGATGACGTGCATGTGTTAATTCTGCCATAATGCTTATTAGGATTTCCACTATCACCTTCACGATTGTGCATTTTTTTGATTGTGTACAATAAAATTTTCATAATCCCAAAAGGCCTACGGTGAGAACTAATAATAACATCTGGAGTTTGTTCATCAGAAAGCCTAACTCCATAGACAAGCTTGGACAAATCCAATCATAGAAGTTCCAGTAAAAGATTGAAAATATTATTCCACGTGCGGCACATGTGGCCCATGCTCGTGTGGTGATGCATTACTCGATGGAGCAATCGCCCGAAAGCGTATCGAAAAAGTTGTCCTCCTGTGGAGAAAATTACTAAGATTAGGTAGATTATGGATTTTGGAAGTCCGCCTACAATGGTAAGCACAGCACAACAAAGTATAGCAGACTCTTCCCAAAAACGAAGAATGTTGCAGCTCAACTATTGAATTACTTTGTGCTCTAAAAAACACCAGTTGTCGTCAGAACAAACAGCCGAGAGTTAAAGGTCAAAGCTCACGATAGAGTAGGATGTTATTCATTAACATTAGCACCATCTTTCTGCGAGACTTTCCAGCCCCTCTATACTTAATACAACGCTTTTAGATGTGATGAGCTATTTTAAATCAAAGTTCAATAAATTCAACAACAAAAAACAGGTAGTTCGGTACGATTGTAATTTGTCTGAAAAGAAACTTATAATCTTACTTTGAGTATCCTTGCCATGCTTGTTTGAGGCTGACGAATGCCTTTTTCAAGGATCATAAACGAGAATTTTCCACTTTCAAATCCTGCTCTCTCACGAGGGGATTTTTTACCGTCAGCGCGTATGACTTGCCATTTCACAGGGAATGAGCACACACTTCAAAAACAAAAGAGGTAGCATAGACAAAATAACAGAGCAACCTGAATTACCTCAGACCTAGCTTCGGACATCCTAGATCATGGGGGCACGGTGCGTATAGCAGGGCCGGCTCTAAGGCGCTGGGGAGCGTAACCTCTGGAGGTACCTCAAATGTAATTTT